GCAAATAACATAAATATGACCATCCTCTCGCCATCCTGCCGTCGTGTCCACCTTGCTTAACCTGAAATGTAAATTTTAGGTGGGGATGAGCACAGTTGGAAATCGTAATGCTCACCACTATGTAATAAATCATATACAATACAGTTAGGCATGGTTGCAACATGAACACGAATCAATCACTTATCACATCTCCTAATCATACATTTTTACTCATGTCCACATCTATCATTAGCCATTGAAGGACATACAACTCACAACAATGGGAGTAAAATACCGAAGGATATACAGCTCACATCGGCCTTGCCTATCATTAGGCTAGGGAGACTGCCTAACAAAAGGCACCGTCGAAGGACATACAACTCACAACGACGGGGACAACCGCTCGAAGGACATACAACTCACAACAAGGGTTACATGGTTCACACGCATGCATTAATCACGCCATTCAACAATTGTAAATAATTTATGGCATAGACAATTTTTAAATAAAACCCACCTGGTCGCGAATAGGAGATAACACGAAAGCACGAATAGGCTGCGAGCTCGGCTCGTCAAACACCTACATTAAGTCCAGATGCTAAAATCAACATCTATTTTGACTTAAACGGAAAACACAATCATACTTAGTCGAACTTGCTTCAACTAAGTTGTTCGTGAAGTCCTGTGGACGTTGGAACATTAGCAACCAGACCAAATGAATGAATTAGCCTATGAACTTTTTATCCAAGGAACCTCAGCATGTGAACAACAGTGCATATAAATCTCAGCTCTAAACACCCAACATGCGATTTATTAAAATTGCTACAACATTCAGCAGATTTCGAATTCTCACTAGAACTGAACCTAAATGAACTTTAAAAATTCAAATATTTTAACAGCATGAAATATACCACAAAACAGACACTTTAACCAAAAATCACAATTTTTCAACATCAGATCAATTTTTCACAGCTAAAACAATTTCTCGTAGAAACAAAAAATAATTTATTTACCTAAGCTAACAGAAACCAAAAATTATGAAAATTTTACACAACATCTAAACATGCCAGAGACACAACATATTCGAATTTCAGCCAATTTCAAGCACTACACAATTTATTATGCAATTAACATGAAACTAACCAGAAATCATTTTAATTTATTAAAATAGCTACAGACCTCATAAATTTATGAAATTTTTACATAAGCTTCATAATCAACAGAGGCAATTATTTCCATATGTCACTTAAATCCGAGCAGTATACAATTTATAATGATTTTATTATGAAAACAGCCGTAAACAATTTCGACAATTTATCAAAGACTCGATCAAGACGAAATCGTCCGAGGTCTTCGTCATAAGACCAAGGATGATATAATGTTCCAATCCACAGCAACTTAAACATGAATGACGAGGACTCGTTCGATTTCTCAAAATCGAAGAGATCGTCTAAACATAATCAATATATCGAATTGAAACAAATACATAAAATTCATGGGTTTATATATATATATATATATATTCGTTAATCACGTTAAACAAACCAATTAACCGCATATCACAAAAGATACATAAAATTTAACATGACGGAGGATTCGAGCTTTGTACCGTTCTCGGAAATTGTTCGAAAAACGAAACGGAAGACGCGAACGGCAACGTGCGGCTCTCGAGGGGAGGACGGCGGCTCGTCGAGCTGCTGTACGTGATCGCCGGAGTTGCTGTAGGGGTCGGCTGTGCGAGGACAAAGGCTCACCGGGATCGTGACAAGGGCTCGAGAAGGTGCAACAGATGGTATCGCTCGCGGAGGATGGGGCCGCCAGAAGTTGCTGTGCGTGAGGATGAACTCGCCGGAGGTGGTTTGGTTGCGGCGAAGGATTGCTGCAGAGGGGAGGTCACCAGAGATGACTGTTTCTCGACGAGCTTGCAGGCGTGGCAGAGGAACTCGTTGGTTGCCGGAAGTGGGCCTGCGGGTCTGGTTCTTCACGAGAGGAGGGGGGCGATCGGAAAAATTTGCAGAGAAAGAGGGGAATATGATGGCGTGATGATGAAGACGATGAGATTCTCTCCGGGTCACGCCCGCAGATGAAAAAGCGAGAAGGTGAGATTTATGAGAGTTGCGTCGGGTTTACGCGAGAGAAAGACGAGAGGTATCAAATTAGAAGACGAAGGCTGGGGGTTTGATTCTCTCTGATATGAGCGGGCGAAATATAGATCGGGACTTAGGGTGATTAGTCTTGATCCACAAGAAACACACACACACAGCTTAAGGGGCGGACCGGTTCGAGTGGTCGGGCTCGCGGGTTGGCCGGTTCGCCTAACGGTTCGGGTTTCGGTATTCTCGGGCTCGATTAAGACGCACGATCAAATAAATAAATTGGGTATAATACTTATTTAATACACACATTATTTTAAAAATAATAATTTTAGTAACAAAAATACATTACACAAATTAGACAATTAATTAAAAATAATAACATTTAGACATTTAGGCATTTAATTACAATTTAATAAATAAATAATATTAGACATTCAATAATAATAATAATAATAATAATAATAATAATAATAATAATAATAATAATAATAATAAATAATTCCCAAATATTCCATAATCAAACGGGGCATTACAGATTGGTTAGTACAACAGGTGTTTAATGAAGCTGAAAGTCATGCAATTCTTAGCATATCCTCACTGAACCCTCTCAGACAAGACATATTGTATTGGGGACTTGATCATACAGGGCAATTCTCTGTCTCAAAGACCTATGCTCATCTCAACAGCCTGAAGATATTGTCAACAGATATACCTGAATGCAGCTCCTCATCAGCAAACAAGAAGGCTATCAGTTTCAGATTCTGGAAATTGAAAATTGCAGGGGAATTGATTTGGACACTACCTGTTCTATTTGTGGTGAAACTGTGGAGACTGTGGAACATTTATTGTTTGATTGTCAAAGAGCTTTAAAATTTTGGAAGTTAAGCCCTGTTCAATGGGATGGTCTAACTGCATTCAAAGACTCATTCAAATCCTGATGGTAGCAAGTATGCTCTATTGATCACTCTGAGGTTGCTGAAGCTAGAATTCAACTCACAACTTACATGCTTTGGTGGCTTTGGAAGTCAAGAAATTTGTGGATTTTTCAGAACAACTTAATCCCAGAACATGCTCTTCTTCAGATGGCTCTGGCTGATTGGATGGACTTCTCTGCTTCTTTGTAGCTTAGCTTAGTTCTTTTCTTTT